TCAGTTGCTCCTGAGGAAGCCCACAGGGCGAAACGTTGAGCTATTAAACAAATTTAAACATTTTATATTGTTATTTTATTTTTGTCTAAAATTAAAACAAGACTCTCCCTCCTACCCTGCTTACCAAAAAATGATGATGATGATGATGATGATGATGTGACCATGTGGAAGAAGAAGGGTATCCATAGACCGGCTAAAAGCCTTCCACGAGAGAACATCAGAGCCGCGCAATTTTCTAAGACATCGATACAATTAGATTGCCGATTACCAAAACAGTCAGCGTTTTACTGGGCTTGGGACCATATATCAATTAGATTTTGTATTGAATAAATAGGCTGTTCCGGTATAAAAACATATCCACAGGACGGGGGCGATCTTTAAAGTGTTGGGGCAGCATTTTCTAGCTCATTCAGAATAAAAGTTGAAGTTGTGAGAATTGTCCATCTGCGTACATTTGCTTGCTACACATTCTCCCTTCTTTCGTGGTGGTGCCTTTCTGCTTGGTCTGTGTTTTTAGTTTCAGCTTAGAAATGGTCTGGAAATAAATTAACGTCTGCAGGAAAACGAATACATTTGAATGGGGACTGTACAGAGTAATTTTGTCAAGTGGACTGTAACTGTTGGATGGAATCCGCAATCTAATTGTATCGATACCATCAAAAAGTGCGCGGCTCTGATAGTGTCTTCATTCAACTGAGTCGTAGACCAGGATCAAGCCTTAGACAAAGTCGTAGACAAAGAAAAAGTCTTTGGCAAAGTCTATAGAGACAAGCTGTGGCAAGTCTTAACCCTATCCGTACGTAGTGTTTTACTATCGAATTCATACGATGTGGGGAACTCTGTGCCACCACGTCGACTGCACACTGTCCACAGTTCACGTCGACTGCACATTGTTCACAGTTCACGTTGACTGCACACTGTTCACAGGTCATGTTTACTGCACATACACTGTTCACAGGTCATGTTGACTGTGTACTGTTCACAGATCACGTTGACTGCACACTGTTCACAGACAGGTCACGTTGACTGCAAACTGTTCACACATCAAATCACATTGACTGCACACTGTTCACTCGTCACGCAGACTGCACATTGTTCACAGATTTCGTCTGTGCATCAACGGCGTGAACTGACCCGTAGCCGCCCACAGTGGGCGCCCCCGCCGCGTTTGAGTGATCTAGCCCCGCAGCAACAACAGCCTTGACCTTTACGTCACCGCCGCCGAGAACGTCGTTGTTGTCTGCTGAAACGCCGGCGGCTGGAGGGTGCTCTGGCTCGGGCACGAGAAACTCGGTGTCGTGGCTTTTGGACCAGGGCTGTTCTACCCCGCGGGCGAGGAGGGCAAAGATGAGCGCGCCCAGCGCGTAGATTGACGCGGCCACGTAGAACACTATCTGCCACTGGGCGCGAGTCTCCTGTGTGTCACAAACCATTGGTGAAATTATAAATA